GCTTCTCCCACACACTAGCCTGTCCCTCTCACTCTCTCTTCCCACACTCCTCTTGCCAGATGTCGCTGAAGAGTCTGATCACATGAGGTGCTCCTTGCCAGGAAGTAAGCGCTTCTCCCTACTGCGCTCCTTCCCTGACCTCCTCCTTCCTCCTCACCACCCGCGAGCACTTCTCCGTGCTGCCTCCTTTGGCTATGGCAGGTGGAGGCCAGACTGCTACCGCTCCGTTGCCTTCTTCCACCCAGGGCGCTTGCTGGCTGCACGCACTGCACCAGCAATGCTGCATGCTGCCAGTGTCTTTCGCCCGCTGCCTCATCTCTTTTGTCTTGTATGGAGGCTGGGGCCTGGGACCCAGTAGGCGCACCCTACTGCCTATCAGTCTGAGACTGGATCCCGGCCCATGTAACTAACTGGGAGGCAGGGCCTACTGCATAGGTACCTGGGCTGACTCCAATTGAAGGTCTAGTGTGCCAGCCTTCCCCCTACCTTTTCCCACGGGCATCCATTTTGGGGCTCGCTGACGCCTGAAGCCTTACACAACACATAACTCCTGAAATCATCCCGTGTTACCAACCGGGCTGCCAGGGTCACCTTGGTTGACCGGGTGGCCAGGACAAGCAACAGCTAGGGAATGTCCCTGTAAAAATTAAAATAAAATAAATCCAACCTGCCCCCCCCCCCCAAAAAAAAAAGACTTGTTGCTCAGAAGAAGAAGAAGAGAAGCAATCTTACAAGTGTGTCAGGAACACAACCCAGACACACACTCTTTCCCAGATCTGCTAACATCGCTGTCCAAGGCTTCAGCCTTAGTGGCCAGGAGGCTCGTGAATAGGAGGAAGGAAAGAGAGGAAGAACTGACGCGAGCAATAGAGTTAGCAGAGCGCAATACTATTTTTCAGCCAGGGGACGAAATGCACGAAAGAGTATTAGACACGGCTAGAGGGGAGATGCAGGAATGGCAACGCTGGAAAATGAGAGGCTTAAGAATGAGAGCTAGAGTCAAGGAATGGGAGGAAGGGGAGAGAATGACCAAATTCTTCTTCCAAAAAATCAGAACTAGGGGCAGGAACAATCTCATAGAGAGCCTAGAAGGGGAGGGGGGGCTTATTTCCGACAAGGAAGGGTTGTTAAGGGTGGCGTTCGACTTCTATAGTAAATTATACACATCAGTGGAAGACCAGTTTTCTAAGACTAGCGTTGAGGAGGCGAGATCCAAGTTTCTGAATTACCTTCAGAGCACAATCTCACGAAAACACGTGGCCATGCTGGACGAACTCTTAACACAGGAGGAGTTATGGGACGCACTTAAAACAACGACCCCGAATAAAACCCCTGGGAAAGACGGCCTCACTAGAGAATTATGGCTTGAATTTTGGCCAATTTTGGGCGAGGAATACGTGTCTTTTCTCGAACAGGCATGGCAGGAAGAGGGTATAGGAAGTGAGCCTGCTACAGGGATAGTCACGCTGCTTCACAAAAAAGGGAGCCCAACAGACATAAGAAATTATAGACCAATAACTTTGCTGACTCTCACTCATAAAATAGTAGCCAAGGCGCTAGCCAATCGCTTATCTAAAATTACAGCAGGTTGCTTCCATCTGGATCCAACAGGATTCATACCGGGGAGGTTTATATTGGAGAATGTCATGTGCCTAACTGAGTCGGTTCGATACATAAGGGACAAGCGCATCAACGCCGCCATCCTCTTTTTCGACTTTGAAAAGGCTTATGATCAGGTCAGTTGGCCTTTCTTACAGTTGTGCATGGAAAAGATGGGGGTAGGGACGAATTTTAGGAAGTGGATCAGGGTCCTATACAACAACGCACAAGGACAAGTACAGATAAATGGTCACTTATCCTCGACCTACCCTATGTCTAGGTCGGTTAGGCAAGGAGACCCCCTAGCTGCTCCTATCTTTCTCTTCATAATGGAGGCAATAACCTCTTTTCTGAGAAAGGACCCGTCAATACACAAGGTGGTAATCCCCACGACGATACTGTTCGCGGATGATCTGACAGTCTTAATCAGGGCAACGGACTCCTCCTTCCAAGCGCTAACAAGAGCTATGGAAGCCTTTCAGCTGGCCTCAGAAATGAAAATTAATTGGCACAAAACAGTGGATTGGTGGATGGCAGAGCTAGACCAAGAGAATCAAACACCAGTCACTAGTCCGGAGGGGCTTCAATGGTTGTCACCACAACAACCGCTCCGATACCTTGGGATCAAGATAACAGAAGAGGGGACYCACCAGTCTATGGCGACAKATATAATGGCCWAGATGTTAGCAAAGGTYGGGGCTTGGTCGACAGTGTACACCTCAATATACGGGAGAGCACTKATCCTGAACGCATCAATCCTTTCCATGATGTGGTASGSGGGGACAATTTGGACCCCCCCCAAGGCCACGTCGACCCATCTTAGGAGAAAGGCCGCAGCCTATTTGTGGACAGCGAAGCATAACTCGGAACATTTCATAACCAAGGTGGCATGGAAAACGRTARCTAGAGCCARGGGTCAAGGAGGCCTGKGCATCCTAGACCCAAGTCTYCAGTTGAAGGCCTTGCAAACAAAGTGGGTGGTCAAGCKAATCTYACAACCCAAGTTATCATGGACCTCTCTAGTATTGGATAGGATCAGGCAGATAGCCAAGTATAAAACACCTAACAACATGAYGGGTCTGTTCTGGATCATGTGTAGCAACTGGGCTAAAGTGGGCTATAGGAAGGAGAACAGGGATGCACAAGGYGGGAGGGCCAGAAACCCTTCTTATTGGCTACAACTAATACAGYTGTGGAAGGAAAKCTTCCCAGCGAGGGTCAGAGAACCTACTACAAGGGAGGAGGTATTAAGACAACCGGTATTCTGCAATATTAGCATTAGGGATGACGGCGGAAAACCCCTTACACTAACTAGCAAAGATTCGAGATGGGGCAGATGGGTGGAACACGGAATATGGYAGATCAAACACATCTGGGATGATGAAAACAACCGGT